CCCCCCCCAAATCTATTTCATTGGAAGGATTAAACAGAACAGCAGTCCTTTTCTCAAGCTGCTTAGTTCTTTCATAGCAAATAAGGAGAGACTTGAGTGTGAATATGGACTTTTGTAATGCATATAAAGGGCCAGATTGTGGCTATTAAGCCATAGCCTGCACTGGAGGGGGTGAAGAAGGGTCTCATTGCAATGGAAGCTCCTGAAGGAAATCTTGCTGACTCAGCCAGAATCCTCTGAGATACTTCCTGGGAACAAATTCTGGCTATCCAGAAAAGGCACTTTTTAGTGAGCCCAGCAGTTGTCATCCATCCCCTGTTCTCTTTGGGTGCTTCTGTGGATCAGGGCAGGCTGATGACCGTGTTTATTTTATCATCTTGTCCGTGCAGTGTGCTAGGACTACAATCAGAAAAATCTTCTTGGTTGAAAGGGGGAAGTTCCTTGTATCCTTTCTCTCTCCCTTGTGCATTTCTAGCATTGCTACAGGCAGTGCAGCTTTGTCTGTCAGAACCAACTCTTAGGATCCTCTGCACAGCACTACACACCTATTCCTGGGAACTGTCATTTTTTACTGAGGATTCCAGCAAGAAGGGCAGAATGAGCTGCCTACCAAGTTTAACAGGAAATGATGGAACCATCGGGAAATGGTAGCAAGAAAGAAGAGGGAAATTTCACTTGCCTGGGAAAGTTCCAGTTCTGTGCAGGGCTAAGCAGGCAGGTTCTGCTCCACCTCCAGTTCCCCCACCTGTGTGGCTTGGCCTGAAAATTCCTCCCCACCACCATCACTCACTAAGTGGCTCTGGCCTGCAGCAGAGTTGGTTGTTGCTCCACTTGAATATCCCCTTGTATAAATGTGGGCACAACCGAGCTGAAATCCGAGCTTTTATTGTCTTCTTTAAACAGTTGTGAATTCATGTTTGTAGAGAGTGGGAATGATTTTATTAAAGTAAAAATACTGTTTGTGAGTATCAAAGCAATGCCAAAAGAGATGGGAGGTTTTGAACATGGTGATAAATTTTGCTTTTCTTGCAAAAGTTGTCAGAAGTTTCAGAAGTTTTTCTTCATGCCTACAAACCAAAATATGTTAGCAACTCTGCATAATAATGAGTTGTAAATAAATGACTCATTGTCTTCACATGTTCACAGCTTTATAGTGCAATGCACAGAATAAACGTGGTGTGATGTTGTCATTTCTTTTTTCAGTTTGACACAGGTGATCCGAAAGTTTGCAAAGCAGCTGGATGAGTGGCTGAAAGTAGCTCTTCATGATTTACCAGAAAACCTACGAAATATCAAATTTGAGTGTATGTATTGCCCAATCTCTCTACTGTTAAACTGGGAAGGACAATGTTTATTGATCACAAATTAATTGGAAGTGAGACTACTGTTCTTTGAGGAATTAAAACCCATCATCATTATAAATCTTGCATCCACTTAGAATCTCCATTTGTTCATGGGAACCAATCTCATTTAGTGAAATGAGGCACAGTCAAAATGAGAATTTCTTTTCCTTTCTTGTGGATTCTGTTAAGAAATTAATTTTGTTGATAGTAAGCAAACATTAAGGATGATATTAGGCAAGGAAAATTATTAAATAAACCTTTAGGCTAGCAGAATTTGAATACAGCTTGAGGCCCATGCTCAAAAAAGTGCCAGAGTTAGAAATGAAGGAGATCAAATTACCCTGTCACCACAGGAAAGGGCACTAGTCCTTTTCAAACGTGCTTTGTAGATGCCTGCAGTGCACATCACCTATTGATAAAGCCTGCTTTATTTCACAGCTCTCAATTCTTTGCCTTTCATGAGCCCTAAATTCCACACCACAAAGTTAAAGGGGAAAAAAAAAACTAATTTAGGAGAAGGATTAACTATTTTGATCAGCGTGGAAAATTAGATGTATATGTTACGGAGAACAGTCAGGATGCAAGTTGGAACAACTAATTTCAGGGTGGTTTGAACTGTTTACTAATTTGTTTTAAAAATTAAACAAAGTCTGAACTGAAAATATGCTTTACCACATCTTTTTTCAGCTCAAAAATATTGAGAACCTTCAACAGCAAAATCTTTGCCAATCTTACCGGCAGACAGAAAGGGGTGGAAAATGCCCTCTCTAGTCATTCTCAGTCTGTATTTTTCAACTGCCTTTATGTACAGTATGGAAGGAAAGCTCACTCTGTGACCACATCTAACATCTCTTTGGATAGATCTGCAAATATGGTCCTTTTTATATACGGAAAATATTGTGTACACCCTGCCTTTTACATGAGCCTCTGTTGCTTCTGCAGCTGTTTCCTCCTCATCAGAATTTGGGACAGGGTACACAGCCAGTGGAGGTACTGACACAACTGCAAGCTTTGGTTATTTTTGCACTTCCCTAGTCACTGACTTCAGACAAAGAAATGCACAATATAACATTTTAAAAGCTCATTTTCCAAGAATAGGAAGTATCCTAATACAAGGTCACTTGCAAAGAGCTAAACTGGGAACAGAGTTCCCAGAACAAGTACCTCCCGGACCATTTCAGCCCGTAATGTATTAGCATGTCATGCAATTGCTTTCAGAAACTTTGATCAAATTGTACCTGAAACTGGATCAGAGTTTAGCCCCTACTAGTCCAGTCAAAAGACTCCTCCAAAACTTGATTGCATGAAGATTTAGCAACCTTTTCTCATTTCCACACATAATGTAGCTATTGTTATTTTATGTGCACTTATTCTTGCAGCAACATTTTTCTTTCTGTTAAATAGCTCTTTCTGTTCTCTAGCTCCTTTGTGTAGCAAGAGAAAATTTGCTATGCTGAACAAGCAAAGCTTTTCTATTGTCTTCTGTTTCTCTTGTCATGTCATTATTCACAGCATCTATAAATAATTGCTTGTAATATGCCTCTGTAAAATTGATTGAGAATTAAGGGTTTAGGTCAAGGTTTAAATTAAGTTAAAACTGGGCTAGTTGAGTGCATTTTATGTAGCCACAATTTTGTACAGGAAACTGGATAAATATTTGGTTTTGTTCTTGTTTAATTTAATACTTTCTGAGGTAATTATCCTTATTTAGCACAGTATGTAAATATGTATCTCTTCTTTCCTGCAGTGTCCAGAAGATTCTCACAAATACTACGGCGACAGACATCCCTAAATCATCTCTGCCAAGTAAGTATTTTGGTTACTCGTGTTTGATGAATGCCATTTTTACTGACTTTTCGAATAATTTTATTGACAGGTTGGACTTTATTCAGAGGAGGAGATCACGTTAGCAATTTGTCTCCAATATTTGTTGTGGCCACCTCTACAAAAATGAAAAAGAAATCACTGAAAAAAGGTTTTCTAGACAAGGGGCAACCCCTGATCATTAAATTCAGCAGGGTACTTTCACGAAGCAAAATTATTATTTGATTTGAAGAGACGTCTCATTTCCAGGAAACAAATGAGAGACGTTCCATTGATTTCAGAGCTGCCTGTATTAGGCCAGTTGCAAAGCAAGAAAAATTTCTGCATGCCCAACAATACATTCCCAGTCTAATTGTATATTATAAATTAAATGCAAATTAGTAAAAGGGAAAACAGCTGAACTGGGTTTTAAATAGACTAGGTTTTGTAACCACAGCAAGTGAATATAGAAGGTGCTCCAAAGTGTTTGGTTTTCACCAGTTTACATCAGAATTACCTGTAAAAAGTCATGAAGCCAAATTCTGGGTAGTATAAAAATTGATAGAATGCATTGAATTCATCAATGTTTCATGCATGTATTGGAGGGGATAGGTTTTTTTCCCTTTCACCTAAAAGCTCCACTTTTGGAAGATGTATCCAAAACTCCACGTTAACCCTGTGAGGGGTGAAGCCCACAGAAAGAAGCTCTAGGTAAATAAAAAAGATTCCTCTGAGGAATTTTTGGTAGGTTTCTTCTGCCATTATTTTAGTGATATTTTTAGACACCTCTGCTACCTTTCCCCAAACACCATAAATCATCACTGTGCTCTGGAGGTCCCTAGCCATTCAGAGGAAATGGAGATAAAGAAACCACAACCTTCTGCATCAAACCTGGGATCAAATCTCTTAGGTGAAGAACTCTTCAAGTGCATCACTCCCTCGGGGAAGCTGATAACCTTGGTGTGTGTTATCATCTCTGCTTAACTTACGGAGATCTGTGTATATGACCATGGCCTTGTGTCGTTTCCTTTACTTTCAGTCCATCCTCCCCGTTACCAACAGCAGATCCCTGTCTCAACCAGCCAAGACAGGGGCCTGATTAGGAGGCCTCATAACCTTTTCATGGGGCTGAGGGAAGAATGAGTCTTCATAGATCAGAGAGGGTTTGAGTGATGTTTGTTTGGTATTGGTTTGATTCTTTTTTTGTTGCTTTTTTGTTCTGAACTGAAGTTTGAAATGAAAACCAGCAGAGCTGTTAGAGATTGAGGGGTCTAGCAATGGCAGCATCAGATTAGTGTTGCTCTTTAGGGTTTGTGTTGGATGCAGTCAAAATACTTGCAGTTGATTAAAGTAGGCAAAATGACTGAAGAGCTCTCTTGTTAGAGGGCCCTGTAATATCCATAAAACATCAAGCTGGTGGGTGGGGGTCCATGAGGAGAATCAACTTAGTGAGCCCAGCTAAGGAAGCGTAAAAGGGGATAAAGCCTGTTTTTTAACCTAATAAAGCATGAACTAATGAATAGATTGGATTGGATTACAGGCATCAAGAACAGTGATCCACAGTGCAGACATCACATTTCAAATGCTGGAGGACTGGAGGAATGTGGATCTGAATAGCATTACCAAACAAACCCTCTATACTATGGAGGACTCACGGGAGGAACACAGAAAGCTCATCATACAATGTAAGAGCAGAATCTTCAAATAAAGCCAGGTGAACTTGGCTTCCTGCTGCAAACAAAGCTCAGAGAAAGCAGTGCTGGTTTTGCAGCCATTGGTTTGCTTGGAGGCTTAAGATAAATATAGAGACATTTACCAAAATGTAAAGGCAAAGCCCTGTAAAGGTCTTATGTTTTGGGGCAAAGATTTGGGCACCGTTCCTTGATGCATTCCTTTCTAGTACCCAGAACAGCCAATGGCACAAAACTTGCAGCAAATTCAGGAAGATTTTTTCCATGAACCTGAGCAAACTAAATCTATGAGTTAACCGTTGAACATGTGAAAGTCCAATCTTTCCTGTTGTAGAATTGCAGACGAATTGTCTTTTTAATGGCTTTGACACTTAAGTGGCTGTGTATTTGAGTCCCTTGTAAATTTGTTTATTAAAAGCTCCTTTTTACACAGTGTTTTCATAATCAAGAGCGTTTGATGGGATAAACTTTCACCATGAATTGTTATGACTAAGTAGAAGTCCAATATCAGACAAGCTCATTGGATAATTTAGCTTCTGTCTAGTATAGTGAAGTGTATGGTCTTGAAAGTGACTTTGGAGATATTGGTAAATTGATTTTACAATTAAAGATCTTTTGCAAATACAAAATATTCCTTCCATCATGCAGCAAGTGTTGCATAGTTATAAGCTCAGGTGTAACCTGAAGGACACTGAGTTTTGTTGTTTTGAGGCAACAGAGCTTTGTCTCTAACATCCTTCACATAACCTCACTTCCTGTGAACCTACCTGTTGTATTGCCATCTCTGTCCTGAGAAGGACCAGTCATCTTTTACCCAGAATCTGCCTGAACAGGGAACAACCCAGGCAATAACCACTTGTGGGAGCCCAGCAAGGGTAGGTTTGCTAGTGAGGTAACTCTTTCAGGGAGTGGCTGGGAAGACAAGGGGTGAAACCTTCACATGTACCCTGCACCCTACAAGGTTGACTTTGGCAGTCATCCCACTGTGTTAATGCTTGAATTCTTCTCCTTTGTTCAGGGATGGGCCTTGCATCTCTGCTAGCTCTGTTTTCCAGAGAGAGGTTCTTGGTATTCTTTCCTCTCTTTCTTAACCCTTGATTCATTTCATTGCCCACTTCCCTTTTGAAGAGATAGGAACTCAACGTGGCGGCAAGGGAGGTAGCATACAGTGAGACTGAAGTCCAGAAGCTGAGTAAATCCTTCTGTCATCTGTTAAGTTTTCCAAGATCTATCCAGTGTCCTACCACTGGCCAAAAAATAGAGTTTTCCAAGTTACGCTCCCTAATAGCAGCAACATTTTTGGCTGCCATTCAGAACATCCTTAATATTTAAGCAATCTTCTCGTGTATGTGCTATTACTGTAATAAAACCAAACAGAATTTTCCTGAATGCTGTTGGATTTGTGCAAGTTTTTCCTGTATTTTAGGCCTATATAGTTTAATAAGAAGTTAGTCAGAAATGGTAAGCTAATAGCTCATGAGATGGATGTTGATGAGATGTTCATATGCATACAGAGAATATCCCAGAACTTAGATTTTTCCCCCATGTTTCATGTTTATTCTACTTGACCAAAGATTTTTTCACTGTTCCTTGTATGACTTATATGGCATCGATTTAAGTCCTATTTTCATACTCTTGTTACTAACAATCAAGGAAGTACAATTTCAGCTATTATAACTAGAGAAAAAAACAACAGGTTTATAAGCCTATAAACAAACTTATAGAGAAACAGAGAAAAATCACTGGGTATAAGAGAACCTCTTCCCTGTTCTGCTGGACTACTTACCTCTGACATGATTTCTGCTTTATTCCCTCATTCTCAGATCCTGTTGAGGTATTTTTAACAATCACTAAAGGCTAAACATCTATTTCTCTCAAATAGGTCGTTGTACACGGTTGCATTGCTCCAGCAGCAAAGCAGGCAACTGATTTGTTTTTCTGCTCTTGCTCCCCTCTTTGCACAGCATATGAATTACTTCATCTGTTGTATCAGGCAGTTTTTGTCCAGCCAAATACTCAGGTAAGGAGACAACATTTAGATTTCTCTGTGATCCTCTTCTGAATAAAGGGAGGTTGCCCATTCAATAAAAGAATGGAAGAAGATAAGGGTGGCCCAAACATCATTTCCCTCCCTCCTCAACTAATGTTTCTGGTAACTCAGCCTTTCCAAGTCTCAGTTATACAAAGCTGAAGTCAGGTGTTTAGCAAATGCATTCCTGCTCATCCTCCTGATCCAACAGAATCAGGGAGGTTGTTCTTTGCATTATTTTGGATAGCCTCTCTGGCTCATTTCCTTAGCTATCATCTCTATGCTTTACCTCCTCCATCCCTTTCACTATCTTTCCTGTGGAGAGAAATTCCTTCCTCCTGTTATTTATAATTAGCTGTAAATGGAATTGCTTATCACATTGAAATCATCCTGTAACACAGCAGGTAGAAAGCATCTTTCTTCTTGACCTACTAGGCCTTTTATCTTAGCTGAATTGAAGAATTAGTTTGTTGAGGTGTCAAAGCATGTGATACTTTGTCTTCCAGCCATTGGTTCTCATATATGAATGAGACTTGAAGTTTTAGGGACTGCAGTTGAATGACTTTTTGATTTTTTGTATTAAAATATTAATACATGTATTTGGAAAAGATCAAAAAGCATACAGGTTGCTTTTTGCAACTCTTCTTCATAATAAGTAGAGTATTTCTGCACTGATTGCAATTTGTTTTGAAGAAGAAGTTTAAGGACATTCTCTGTGTGTGTGTGTGTCTGGCATTGCAAATAGATTTGCAGCAGTTAAATCATGTTTTTGCGACTAAAGCAAAATGTTGAGCGCCCTATCAACGATGCTCATTCACTTGGTGCCTAGAAGATTATTTATGCATTTCTAAATCAATTTCATGCATGACATTTTTTCATCACTGGGGTCAAGGCCTAGTTCTCACTCTTCGTAGAGAACACCATAAACATTTCACTTCTGGGCACACCAGACAACTTAAATAAAAACACTAATTTTAAAAAAATAGGTTCTGATTGGCTTGCATTTAAAAAAAATCTTTCTGCATCACTTTCAGCAGAAACAAAATAAGAGAGACAGCAAACTTTTTGGGTCAGCACCAGGAAAGATGCATTTGTTTCAGTTAAGCAATCCGTTATAAAAAACCTAAAAAAACACCGTAAACTTGTGATTCTTTTGGTAACCTTTTGTGATTTGTTTTTCTTTTGTTTGAAACAGAATCCAAGTTCTAAGGTGGGTGTTTTGTTTTGTTCTGTTTTTTGTACCAGTGTATCAGGAGTTTGATCACCTTTTGGAGGAGCAGTCCCCCATTGAGTCGTACATCGAGTGGCTGGATTCCATGGTGGACAGATGTGTTGTAAAGGTTGGTAAGGAGGAGTGAGTCACTGATGTGCATTATGATCTCTATTCAGGTAATACATTTTTAGAAAAAGTAATAACAATTAAAAAAAAAAAAGAAGAAGGAGTTAGTAATGAGCAGGACTAAAACAGTAGTGGGCAAAATCTCAGCAGTTTTCACAGAGAATTGCTGACATTCAAGATTTTGCTTTATTCTGCTCGTTTGTTTTATTCCAAAAGATGGTATTCAAAAATGAACAGGGTGGAGGTTTCCAGTCAATATTTCCGGGGATATGGAGAGATGAATTCAGAGTCAGAGTCATTTTAGTGGTATAGTGCAAAGAAAAACATAATTTGGCCTTTTATGATTTTAATGGAAAGGATATTTAAGCTAGCTAATTCATTTACGTACAATCAAATGTAAGGATGAAAGTCTACATTGCCATTCAGTGAAGGACACATTTATGTTCCTTTTGAGCTGATATGGAATACCAAAGAGTTGTATTTTATTTTCATTAAAGTACATGCGGAAACCTGCTAACAAAGCTTTAAAACGAATTTTCAAAAGCGATCTAGCATCACCATAATTTTACATAGAATATGAAAATGTATAGCTGACTGTTTTAACTTCTGTTACTTCTTTGTATTAGGATGTTCTGTTAGAATTTCAACTCTTCATTCCAATTGTTAGGGCTCTGAATTAAAGCCAAAACAAACCAAAATATGCTGCCTCTCTCTCTGCTGCAAAATAGCCACATAAGAAAAAAATAATTCTCCAGGTTGCTTGAAATACTTTGATTGTTTTGGGGAACTTCTCTTCTAGTCAGTGGAATGCAATTTGAAATTCAGGCCAGAGCTGTTAATCTTAATGGTGAACTTGACATGAATTGTAATAAATGAATTTTAGTAGCTAATTGGGTGAATCTAATATTTTAACTCACAGATGCCTATAACAAATACATTTTTGAAGAGTTAATGCTTAAAATGTGCTTTCTGGAAAGTATTTTTCCTAGTAAAATGACTAAGTGAATTCACAAAAATAAAAATGAGAAGGAACAAAAAACTTTATATTCAATATTAAATCTCATTTGAAATAGTAATATAAATTTGAAGTGTAGATCAAAGATTATTGATTATTAATTGCTTCCTTGACTAGGAAGCAAGAAGGAAGATGTTAGTAATTAGGTTAAGATGAAGATCAGAGCAATTTTTTTGCAGTCCTTTTATAATGTATAAAGGAGATCCAGTCTTGAATAATACTTTATTGTTTCCTCTTTCTCAAGCTTGTCCATGATTATAAGGTGGTTTTCTGTCTAAGGCCATTTTGAGTTTGGGTTTTCTAATTAGTAGTGTGTACTTTAATGTGAAGATGGCGGTAAGTAGTTTTTCAGTATAAAAAGAGAAGGTGGATATATGCATCATTCAGCTGCATTGCTGGTAGAAATAAAAATTTCTCCATGTCAGGAGACACATCTCTCTTCTTGCAGGTAGCTGCCAAGAGACAAGGCTCTTTGAAGAAAGTAGCTCAGCAGTTTCTCCTGATGTGGTCCTGTTTTGGCACTCGAGTGATCCGGGACATGACTTTGCACAGTGCACCCAGCTTTGGTACTTGGATTTTGTTGCAATAATTCCATGCCACAGTCAAAAAAATCTGCATGCCAGCTTGTAATGTACATTTTAAGTGAGAACATTACCAGTTTTCACATGTCCAGTGCTCTACTAGAAAATAGGTTTGGGCTATTGACATTTGGAAATAATGCTTAGACAGATGTTGGTCTGCAAGCCGCAGCCGGGGAGATGAAAGCATTGCTGCTTCCTCCTGTTTGCTGTTAGGAGCTGCAGGGATCAGTCCCAGGGCAGCTGGGGGAGTCCATGACAGGAGCATTCCCTAATGCACATCAGTGCAAAGTGAGCCTGCTTACCCAAACCACTCTGGCCACGTGCTGAGCCAAGAGATGACTTTGTGCTGAAGTGGATGAAAAGCTCTCCAGTGAAACGCTTTGCCAGCTCTCCTCTTAAAGGACATAGCATTGGAAACTGGCCTTTGCAAAGTGAGTGTGCTTCTTATAACCTGGAGAGAGTCTCATCCATTTCTTAAGAAGTCAGTTGGGATGAAAAAAATAGATTTTTGCTTTTTAAATTAAAAATCATGTTGCTTTTCCACACTGTTTGAAAGAGGCTTTGTCCCTAGATACAAAAAGTTCAGATTAAAATCAGTTATAAGCAAGAATGACTTGACTGGTGTGCCATAAGTGTGAACATTTAGTCTCTTGGGACTAGACTTTGCATGAGAGATGCTTTTTACAAATGCACATTTTTTTGAATACATTTCTAGAAAGATCAATAAAGAATGGTTTTATATGGGTATTGCATTGAACAACTGCAAGGTTTTCTGCTGGCTGAGCTTTGGTGTCCTTTATGCTTTTACAACCATGTAATAGTATAAATTTAGATATTGTCAGTGAGATGTAATATGATATTTTTAATATGTTTTATATATTTATAATACAAGTAATATTTATTTGTATAAAATGCTTATATTTTAACCTGAAAGTACTTTCATTTCCATTGTAAAAGAGTTTAATGTTAATGACAACGGGCTAGTGAGCGTCCTCAAGGTGATGGTAATTTTCAGCAAAAACCACAAACCTGTTCAGGTGCAATGCTAGTGGAGGCAGAAGGAGCCCTGAAGTTTTGAATATCAAAACCATATCCTTATCCTATCAGGCAGCAGCCTGGGTTATCCCTACACAAATGTCATACATTTTATTTAGCCATGGACACAAATTTGTAATATTCTTCATTAATTATGCTGTTCTTTCACTGCAAAGCCATATTGTTTGTGAATTAGAGTTGAGCAAGTTCCAAAAGAACAACCCCTGAATGTAAGAAGCTCAGAGCTCGATGGCAGAAACTTTTCTGCACCTAATTTATACAGCTCTTTCTAGCTTTTCAGAATAATTTAGCTATTAAGTGAGTTCTATGGAGAGAAACAAAGACTGATTTACTGTTCTAACTATTTACATATAATATACCTTTGCTCTTAGCTTAGATAAAAAGTTTTGCATTTTTACTGCATTGGGAACTGTATCAGTGGACTGATTTTTAATTATTTTTTCCACCTTTCCACCTTTTCCACCTTTTTATACCTTAAACTATATGTAGACTCAGATTCTCATGGTGTAATTTTTTTTAAAGTGAAATAATGTGTTAGATGATGGAATCTTGACTATGTACAGGACAGTATATTTTTACCTTTGAAACAGATTATTCCAAAAACTGATTGAAGGAAGTGGTAATACCTGGCACTGGAGTGTCTGGCACAAAGATTTGATCTGCAAAGCTTTTAAGCATGGTGACATGGACAGGTTGAAACAATCTCCGGCAGAAAAGAAAAGTTGCTCTCTCTCTCTTGCTCCCTCTCTCTTTTTTCTCTTTCTGCCTGCCTCCCTCTTTCCTGCTTATGCATATCAAAGGCACAGTTGGTGGCAATGTTTGGGTAATACACCCAGTGTATAAAGTAACTAATTAGTGATAGAAACTCCATTATTTTCTCCAGATCTGGAAATCTCACTGTTGTTTTGCTACTTACACATAATTGCTGTATCTCTTAATAGTTGTTGATACTTACTGTGCCTTAGCTGGGCATTGCCATGATTTCTGTTAACCCCTGAAAATTAGAGCCCAATGCTGTTTATTGTTGCAACTACAGTCTCTTGAATGACTTCTTACCTTTTCCTACAGAAGTGATTGATTTGCTGGCTACAGCTGGATCAGTTTCTGTACTTAAATATAGACTTGAAAGAACACAACAGTTTCATGTGAAAAACAGTAGCTTGCAAACACAGAATAAATTATGGTACATTGTGCTGAATAGCCATTCACTGAGATGCTGAAGTGCATGCCCTGACATCAGTTTCACTCTATAGCTTACATTTCATTCAACTTACTCAAAAATATAAAAATATTGCGCTCATTGCATTCAGTACCAAAACCTTGTTTGTCTGGAGTCTTTCACGCAAATTCTGGGCTCAAAAACTCTATGCAGACCTTAAAAATACACAGTGGGAGAAATAATAGGAGAGGAAGAGAGAAACTCAAAAGAGTGACAAGGGCACTGGAGTGTTTTTAAATGCTGCATTCAGTATTGCCAACCCCAAGTCTTCAAAATAAAGCGTTAGACCCCCCAAAAACAAAGACATTTTTAAAAATAGCAGATCTTGGGTTCTTGTTGTTTGCTTGCTAGCACTACAGTGTTTAGAGTTTGCACTTCCAAATATTTTTATGAAAATACAAGCAACTTTCCTTTTTTTTTTTTTTTTTTTTTTAAATAAAGGGTGAATAAGGAGTTTGGCAGAATATAGTAAATATCCTGAGCTTTAAACCACTACATGAAGTTTGCCAGCATTTTAGCCTGTTTTTCTTACTTTGAAGTTACTTATCAGTAGTAAATGCATTACAGTCAGTAGAAACTTCCCACTGAAATACTGTGAAGTCGGGAGAAGAGTGAGGGTTTTGTGGAGATTCTTGAAAATCTAAGTTTCAACTGGGGAAATCCTAGGTCAGTAACAAGGTGCTCAGCCATGTCTGCTGTCTTTATTGCACTACTAAATTGAATAGGACTTTATTCAACAAGTCTTTGAGCCCAAAGGATTTTTAAAAGCAAGTTCTCTGTGTAGTTAAGTGAAGATACCCACTTTTACCCTTGAAAGTCTGGGAAAGCCTGTTACCAGTTTGATCTGCTTAGTCACCAGACAATCAAAGAACTGGATGCTTCAGGTTCACCAGCAGCCAGAGATTTCCTCCGCATAGCAAAGGTGCTGCAGTCAGGTGTGTCCTGTTTCTGTGCTGCCTTGCCCAAGAGCACAGAGGTACATGGTCACCTCCCAGTGTGTGTGCCCAGCTCGTATCAGTGGCAACAAAACCATGCAGGCGTGGAGGGAGAGAATGAAACACAAAGACCATTGGAGTCACAAAGAAAAAGAATGTGCTCAGAGTCACTCTGAAAGCTGAACTGCCGGCTAGAATTGAATAAGGGTATTGGGTCTTTCAAACCACTTCTGCCCTACAGCAGCATGTTTGAATGCAGTAGTTGGAGCAGGGGTAGCTGTGCTTCATTGTGATAAAAGCTAATATCCCAAGACAAACCTAACTTTCCTGTGAAGAAACCAGTCATTATGAAACCCAGTTTAATTTGAAACTTGTTTGATCTTTTCCCTATGAAAGTATTTCACCTAAAATGCAATAATGGAATACCTCCACATGGGTGGGTGGGGGAGGCACTGTCTGGCAGTAGTTGATCTCTGTTTCTATCTCAGATGATGACTTTTCTCTGATTTTAGCTAGCTGCTGAATGAGCTATTATTTTAACTTCACTGTACTTCACTTGTCAGAGTTAGAGACCTAAATGAACATGTGTTAAATACTCCGCAGAAGTCTTAAGTGAACAAAAGAGCTTTAAAAAAACCAAACCCATTGTATGATAAATTGCTGTCTGAAACTATTACAGGTACTTAATGTCATAGAGTCTTTTGTATAAATTGAACAAACTCCACCTTGATACTTGTCAGTGTCCCCCTGCAGATGGGTGTTAGTCCTTTCAGGAGGGCACAGCACAGTATCTCAGCTCTGATATTTTGCTTCTCTTACTTTCCCCCCCAAAATGTATCTGTGGTCTCTTCTTACACATGTTTTTTTTCTTGTGATTTGTGATCTAGGGCAAACATATCTTCACTATCTCTGATATGTATGCTTTATAAATTATGGGAAGCAACTCACTTCCTTTCTGTGTAAGTAGTTCAGAAAATTCATACCAGGATATGTCACTAAGGCAGCCAGTTTGAGATTGTATTTCTGACAGAAAATATGTCCTTTATACAGTGGGAAACAATTCTGCTGTAGTGCAATTGGCAAAAAAATTCAGTGCTAAAGCAGGAGAAGAAGAATCCTTCAAGTGGGAGCTCTCAGCTAGGTAGTCTTCTTGCACCCTAAAACATAGCTGGTTGTGGAAGCCAGTTGATAAGTCTAGAAATGAACAGTTTGCTACTCCCTGGTTTTACTTTGACCTCTCTTACCTTGAGTAAGAGAGATATTTCAGTACACGGAGGCAGTCTTATTCAGGACTGTTTGTGTTGAGTACCGTAATAATTGGTTTAATGAGTGTATTGAGACAGTCAATGGCTTTTTTGTTTGTTCACTTTATTACCAGGGTCTTTTCACCTTATTCACTTGATGTTCGATGACTATGTATTGTACCTGCTAGAATCACTCCATTGTCAGGAGAAAGCTAATGAGCTGATGAGGGCAATGAAGGGAGAAGGAAGCACAGGTGAGTCTGTTCTTTTATTCTTTTTTTTTTTTTTTTGGTTTGTTCCACTGGTTTCTCTACTTTTTTTGTTAGGACATATTTTTATTCTTATCTAACCTGCTGAGGCTTATCCAGCAGTAAAGCACATCTATCATGATGTGAAACAAATTATTGGGGAGGCATCCATGGTTAATACATTCTGAAAGAGAACTGCCTGCTTCACAATGTCACTCTGGATGTCAGAAACCCCATTCCTAAGCACTGACTTGGTGTTTCAGTAAGAAATTTTTGTACTGAACCTTTTATCTTAGTTAATCTTTCTAAGCCACCACTGAATTTCAGTGGACTCAGTGTTAGTGAGTTCAGTGATACCAGTGGATTGGTACCAGTCTAAATAAGAGGAAGAGATAGGTGGAGTGAGAAAAGACAAATGGTAAAGCTGTTGTTTCTGGTACACTTACATTCTGAGTGCCTGTGCAGAAGGAGGTTCTGAGTCCAGCTCCACTCTGCAATGCCTTGCCAGAACAGAAACAAGCAGGGATTGCTTTTAGTTTTTTTCTGCTCTGGGCAACCCCTTGTATGAGAGGTCCTCAGTGATCTTCCTTACTTCCATCTCCCATTAATTTTGGCACATTAAGCCTCTCTGTCACTTCTGAAAGTTTCCTTCTCCATTTTAGCTGGGGCTTAATTTATTACCCTATAGATTTATGGGAAGAAAAACATTTCCATGATTAGGGTACTATCTTATGTATGGTGCAAGACTTGAATTTAATTCATTGCCCTGCAATAACCTCTTGGGATTTTGACAAACAAGTTGCTTATTCTTGCATATTTTCCACATACCTTTAGCTAAAACTATCCAGAATATCCTCCTTTTTTAGCTCCTTTTTATCCTCCTTTTTTTTTCAACAAAGAAAGAAGACATGGCCCAAAGCCACAGGAATGTTCTGGAGACTCCTATTTCTTGCCAATGTCTCTTGAAGGTGTAGGAATGCCAAACTCAGACTGGACTCCTAATTTTAGATATGTAATAGTACATTGCAGGAGTATAACACTTAAGCTGTCCATGCACCAATTTCCTGCCTTTGCAACAAGAAAAATTGCTCTTTCCTTTAAGAGGTCTTCTGAAGGTACAGTGAAGGTTGTAATGGTGAATATTATAGAAGTACTTCTTTCCAAGACTTGTGGTTCCTGATCTGTATTTCTTGAAATACACACCACAGTACCTAACTGCTTGCATTATTTTTTTTAAGTTGCTCAGTGTTCCCTGACTCTACCTTTAGCTATGTTTGATGGGTTTTCTCTCATTCTGCAGCAGAAATACGAGAAGAAATTATTCTCAGTGAACCAGCTGCTCCCACTCCCTCCCCAGCACCGTTCTCCCCAGCTAAATCTGCCACCTCTGTGGAAGTGCCCTCTGCCCCATCACCCATCAACAACCAGTCCCCAGAGTATGGTGGCATAACAACTACTACAGGTAGGTTGGTTTCTGGCAGATAAATATGCTTGAGGATGGCTTTTGCACTTGGTGTCCTAAAATTGAGCCTCAGAACATGATGTACTGGCTTGCAAGATATGAGAAGCCTTCTCAAGCCAGAAATCTGTTCTCACTGTATCCACACATGATGTGCAATCTGCCAGGAAAAAAACCTAATGTTTGGATGTTTTATATGCCTGAAGGAAGCGGGCCAAACATTTCAAGTTCAGTAAGGTTTGCAAAATCCCAAATTACTAGTGGTTCAGGAATTCCTAGCTAGTAAAGTGACAGATGGGTATCTTTCAACATATTTAACATCCAAATATGTTTAAATAGCTGTGGAAGTTTCTCTTGGGAATCTTTTACACATTGCTGATAACTTTCATCAATCGATATTAGCGATTAGGAATTACAGGTCTGAAGCCTGTTTTCAGTGTTATACTCTATTATGGCAGCTGATAAGGTTGTTGTATTCTGGTGGGCTCACAAATTTAAAAAATCTGCACTTAAGGGACAGCTTAAAGTTGTGGGTAGGATTGACAGAAGACAATAAGCATAAAACTAGTTCCTTGTTTGGGCTGCATAAATGGCCAACATCCTCTGTGCTCTAGAACAAAACTCATTACCTTTTGGATGTGGGCAGGACAGTCTGTCTGTATGATCAAAAGACAGTGTTTTCTTAATTCATGGAAAGAAAGGCAGAAATGTGAGTGACTTTCAGAAGGCATTTCAGGCAGTGAAATTCCAGCTTTGCTGCTCCTTAGTGAATAGGATGTACAATCAGAATGTGGAAACTATCGCTTTTGTGATGTACTAGAAAAGTTACAAAATCTTCTTAAAACAATGTCATAAAGTGATGATTTACCACACTAGAGAATTTGGCCATGGCTAAAGAACTAATAAATCTTTCTGAAAAATGTTTTTCATGTTTTCAAAGGCGCCACAGGGAAGCACAATGCATGTTGTACTGGAAAGAGATTTAAAAATATTTGTCCCTACATCACAACTTAAGATTTTTCACTGTTGAAGGCAATACAATAGTGAGGAGGGAAACAGGAAGTTATTATCCTTCAGGACAGTTAGACAAGAGACAGATGATTCCTGGACAGGGTAGGTGACCACATGGCTTCAGTCGAGGTGACAGTGGAGGTGGTGAGGATCTTTGACTCTTGCTGAAACATTGATGTTATGTGGAACTTGACCTGTAGGAATTGTGGGATAATTGTAATGCCAGAGCCAAATTTAGTATGATGCAGGGCTGTAGGACTGAAAAGAAGGGAACTGTGTGTCCTCCAGGGCCATTGGAATGGAGGTCTGAGGGACTTGTATTTGCGCTGCAGATACCGTAACTCCATGTGACTGTCATGTAACAGTTAACAAAAGCCATTTGCCCTTGTCCTGTCAGAGGTCCTTGTAAGAAGTCCCTTTCCATCTTTCCCTTCAGGTACTGAAAGACCACAGTTGTTCCCACACTAGTACTTCTGAGGCAAGAAAACTATTTCTGATTATTTTAATTCTTCTTTCCTCAGCTTTTCTTTTTTAGGTTGTTTTAAAGGCTTTCGTTTGGTTGAATTGGATTTTATTCTTATGGTCTGGTGCAATCTCACTTTTGAGAGTGTGAAAATAATTTTTGTCTTGCACAAGCCAAATTTGTCAATGCAAGTAATGTTCTGCTTAACATTAAATATGAATATGTGGCTATTTGTTTTTTGTTAATTAGTAATACCTCTATTTCCCACGTTCATCATGTAGATGGACTAGTTTTAGTTTGCTAAGCTGTGGAATGCATGTTTATTCACATAAAACAAAACAAAATAACAACTGTGTCTCAGCTAAAGGAAATTGCTACACTTTAAAATAGGAGTGCTGAAGATGTATTACACACACTCAGACTACTTTACATACAGATCTGTGGCATTATATAGAATATTTTGAAACAGGAACTTCTCTTCTGGAAATACCAGACTATTGATTTTTTTTATGTGTCTTGATCAGGTAAATGTAAAATTCTACAAATGCTTTGCAGATCTTGAGAACTAGTTCCGTTGGTCACCATTAGGTCTCAGTTCCCTAATTTAGGACATCATTAACTCTTTTTTGCTTCTGACATCAGCAATAAAAGTTAACTATTAAACTTGTATTTTAACCTTTTTGCCTTCAGTCAGTGGTCAGTACAAAACCAGCAAATTAAACTCTTGCAATGACATGATACTGAGCAAAAGAAAGGTAAATCCTATGTATCACTCTGTGGCATGTGCCATGGCACCAGTAACATTTTATTTAAAACTTTTTGTTAGGTTACTAGACAGTTAAAAGGCTAATTAGCCTCCATCCTTTGTAAACCACAAAGGCCAGATTAATGATTGTTCAAACTGCAACAATATTGTAGTAAAAGTGATAGCTATATGGCTGACTCTCCTGTTCTCTCTTAAAGCCCCTCTTAAAGCTCTGATTACTCATTTGCCAATGCAATCGTTTTTAGACAACCCAAAATGAACTCTAAATTGTTATTTCCTAATATCTTAGTAAATTATGGAGTTTGCTGTTCAGTTTTAAGAAATCTATGCATGAAATAAGTCATCAGGTCAGCAATGGTCATTAAAAGTCACTGTTCTTCCAAGTCTGGGCTTATTAAAGTTCTGGGAATACTGACACAGATCTAGCCCCTCTCATATTTGTGTGTATGAGTAGAACAAATTTTTGATTCTTTTCCTAAAGCTTCAGCTCGTGGACTTGTATGAGTATTTGAGAACATCAGCTCTTGCTCAACAATCAGAATTCAATGCTCATAGCTGCAGAGTGCAAAACTCAAATGTTTCAATTTCAAAAGGCAACTCCTCTCTTCAAATGGAAGTGCTTGTGTTTTCTAAAGCTTTATAGGTGAAGTGATCTGTTTCTTTTGTGGGGGCAGAATGGGGTTCTGCCTCTGGATTTCTGACTGCTTGAAGTTGACAGTACTGCTGATTATCAGACATAATGCACAGTGCTGGGAGTGTCTCACTGTGTCTTGGTGGTCGTTTGCTCCATCCTAAAGCAGATATAAAATGCAGCATTGTGAAGCATCTTCTGGGTTTTCTCTGCACTGGTGTATGTGATGGCATCAATGACAACAGGGCTGTTGTAGCACTAACAGCAGTTCCATTTATATTTGGCTCCCCTACAGATCAGATGTCCTCTTGGTTAGTATCCTCAAAATCACTTTTTTTTTTTAAGAGAAAAGAAAAAAGAGTGATAATAAATGAATTTTCCTATTTTAATCAAACCCTGCATGTTCAGAACACAAAGCAGAGCAAATCATTGCTCAATCACTATTGTTTTTGCTTATTTCAAAAAAGCAGTTCAATTGGGTTCAGTCATATCTAAAAGAGACTTCATTTCTTGGAGTTCAATTCTGCAACCAGCTGAGGAAATTAATCTTAAAGGACTGAGACCTAGGCAGATATTAGAAAGCTAACTATGGAAATCTCTCACACTTAACTCATTCCTCCTTTTCCACCCACCACAACATTGGCAGTATCCTGGTTGACCTCATATGTACTTCCACACAGTCTGCAAATCTGTGGCCATCTTCCATCCTTCCTCCCTGTATTTGTAATTAGTTCACTGGAAATAGTAGCATCCCTTCCACACAGGCAAAGAGAAGTGAGGCAACTGTAGGTTCACTAGAATATTCTGAGAAAAATATTTGCACTGCTTTCTGTCATTCTGTAAATCCAGAGTAAAACCAAACATAGTTTTGTTTCTAAACCATAACCTGCAAAAGAAAGGAAGTATTGCCTCGAGCAGCTGTGTGAGGGACTATCCTGTAATACCTCACACAATTCTTGGTTAGAACTGAACAAAGATATTCACAGCTCTCCCAGTGCAAGACCTACTTGCTACATTTGTTTCTGTGACATCTGGACAAGCACAAAGCTTGTTACTCTCCAACCATTTATTTTAAAGTTGGACTGAGGTGGCTGACAGTTAGATTTGAATATCAGGAGTAGAATGTCTCATCCAAGGAATTTGACTTCCCACAGGGAGCACATGAAACAACTTGCTGTCCTGGACTCACTCATTTTCATCAGACTATGATAAGATCCCTGCTACTTTTCAAAAAAAAGAAAAGGAGATTGCCACAATTACTGAGGCCAGTCAAATCACTATATTTGATAAAACGCAAAGGGTCTTTTGGCTCTGTTATTACTGCTTCTTATCAAAGGTAGGAAGGTTATGAGATTTTTGGGTCAATGGCCAATTTTTTTGTTGGAAAAAGTAAAATCAGGTCAAAGTAAAACTTTTGTTTTATACTGAAGTGAAAAAGTGGGGAAAAAACCCCAAACAAAAATTTACCTAAAAATAGGCATTTTTGGGGTTTTTCACCCTCTTTGTTTGTCCTTTCTTTTCTCTTTGTTTTTGCCTTTTGCATTTAGGCCTGTTTTGAAAGAGAGTTGCAAATTTTCTTTTGGAAGATAACACTGGGAAAATATGTTGACCTTTTGAAATTGAAATGTTTCATTAAAATATTCTGTAGACAAGTTGTTGATATTTTCAAAACTCTTTTGTTTTCAAATGAAGCTCTTTGGTAACTGCATAAGTACATCTTCCACCTACACTGTATTTTTTAGTAAAGGCAGGCTCCCTTAAACATTTTTCCAGCTCAGGGAACCATGAACTTTTATTTGCCCATGGCAACAGGAGCTAGCTTTTCTTCTTGGGGTCTTGGGGATCTCAGTGGTCCTCTGCATTGGGAGGAGATGAAGACAGAAAGAGTCAGTGGCAGAAAATGCAGGCATGTGACAACAGACCAATCACAAATACTCTTGGCCATAACACATCCAGGGATTTCTATTGGAAGAGCACCAAATCACACCCTGCTGAAGTATTTCAAGTTGGACTTACCTTGCAAAGCTCAGAATGCCTTCACTCAGTTGCAGAATTAAGCATTTCCCACCAAAAGAAAAAAATATTTGCCTGATTTTGCCAAATAAAATCACACACACCTGAAGAAAATGATGCAAATTTGAAATAGGCTTTTCCTTCCCCAAAGCCATGGAGTAGACACAGACCTGGGAATACAATCATTTCCCCCTCTGAATTAGGCCCTTTCATGCTACAGGAAGTCCTAGAATCCATACTGAAAAAAACTGAGTCACCTCCTGCAATTCCTTTTAGCTGAAGAAAAAGAGTCAAGAGTGCCCAGAGACCCCAAACCAGTGTTCTCATTGGGTTAAATTCAGTGTTCTGGTCCTCATTTGCAGGGTAATCTCAGCCAGTATGGTCATGACCTCCAGCAAGAGCTATGTTATACTGGAACAATGGATCTGTCAGCTCCTGAGTGAAAGGGGTGTGTGCAAAGGACAAAGGTTTCTCAGCAGCTGGCTCATGGAACTGGAGTTCCTGCCTGGAAGGGATCAGGATGATTAAAAAACTCAGCACCTTCTAAGCAAAATGGAAAACCCACTTCTTTGCTTTGCTCTTCCCACAAACACTCTACAAAAATAAATTAAGTCCAGCCTCTGCTGCCACTAAAAACAAGAAAGAAATGTTATTTGCAGGAAGGAAATGACTAGGCTATTTCTGTCTATCTACTTGTCATAATTTGGGGATCTTTGTAGTGTTGCCACTACAAGGGCTGGTACCTGGTTGGGTGGAACAGGTACAAACTGCAAAAGGATTCAAGACATTTATTTGCACAACACTGATTTTTTTCTAACCTTTCATTTTTCTGATCGTACTTCCTGCCTCAGTCCAGGCCTCAGAGCTGAGCAGGCCAGCAGCCCTCTCCATGTGAGAGAGACCCCAGGGTTTGGTGCATCATGCCTGAGAAATCTTTGCATTGGTGTTCTTCTATTTCTAAGTCCTATTCTGGGGTTTTGGTTTTGTTCTGCAAAATTATTTCAACACCACGCTGGAAGTCCACAGTGTAAGCCATCCCAGATGTGTTTGATTTTTCTGGATCCTTGCATGCTCCCAATGATCTAGATGTGTTGATATTTCTGCCTCAGATATGACTGATCTGTTCATTTTGGTCAGTGCACTTTCCATGATCATTGCCTGTTCGGTTGTTTTCCTGTAACTGTCTCAAGGCACGGCACCTCTGTGGATGACAGCCTGTGTTTACTGTGTTCCTCTGGCTCCTCTCTGTCTGCAGGGGCTATGCAATCCTACACATGGTCACTCACCTACACTGTGACAACAGCTGCTGGGTCACCTGCTGAGAATTCCCAACAGCTGCCTTGCATGAGGAGCCCACACGTACCTTCATCATCCGTCACACACCGGATACCTGTTTATCCCCACAGAGAAGAACATGGGTAAGGCACTTCCCAGTGCCTTGGGTTTTCTCATGTGTTTTTGGTGGCATTTGGATGAAATTCTGCTTAAGCATTTTATTTTTTTTTCATACAGTAAAAGCTGTTTATTGATGTAGTAAAGTCTGTATTGCAAAGATGCTGGTATTATAATTCTTTGGCTGTTGTTGCTATTCTGTAATTATATTATGTCTTAGTTTTATAATCTCATTTAATTCTATTCAAAACTGCACTAGGCCTGGAGGATATTTTCTAAAAGAGAAGGCTTAAGTAGATTTCTTCTCTGATTCCTGTTTTCCTGTGCCATGTTTGAAAAAGCTAGATATGCCTAGAGAACAGCCCTACTGTACCATGTGTCAGGAGAGGTGATTCTTCTCTTTTGCTCAGCACTGCTGAGACCACATCTGGATCCAATTCCATGCTCCCAGCACCAGACAGACCCAGGCATACTGGAGTAAGTCCAGAAAAGGGCCACTTTAATGATGATGGTGGGACTGGCCCATCTGTCATACAAAGAGAGAGCTGAGGTTATTTTGCATCAGGCAGAGAGGGCTCAGGGGAGGGTCTTATCAGTGTGTATAAATACCTGCTGGGGGATGTAAAGAAGACAGAGACAGGTGCTTTTCAGCAGTATTTAATGACAGGACAAGTACAGATAGAAGTACAAGAAATTCTGTTAAAACATAAAACAAAAAAGTTGTTTTAATGTAAGTGTGATCAAACACTGGGGCAGGCTGCCCAGAAAAGCTATGGAGTTTCCATCCTTGCTGATGTACAGACTCCAGCTGGACACAATCCTGGGCAGGCTGCTCTCATGGACCCTGCTTTGAGCAGGGGGCTTAGACTAAATAGACTCCACAGGTCCCTTCCAACCTCAGTGATTCAATGACGACTGCTAACCTGCAGATGAAAAAATGTCCACAGTTTGATCATACAGACACATTATCACCACAATATTCTGATATTCTCCATCGCCAAAATTTGCTCAATGCTCTCAATTAAAACAATTAGAGGTATAAATTTATGTAACATTATTTTATCTGGAAAAAACTTCACAGTTGCTAAAGCTCTCAGTGCTGTTTTCATTAAGCAGCACTTCTGTGCCATCCTCATTTGATTCAGTGCATAACTTACAGATATCCATAACTAAAACACAAGTCATAAATTGATTGATGGAGAAGAAATAGACAATACAGCAAGATCAGCAAATGCCCAGGTGCTGCTATGATGCAAGAGGTTCAAAAGGTTTTACTGTGTTCCTCAGTCTTGTTGTAAACTCATTAACTTTGCAGAAGTGTTTTCCCAGTGTGAAAGACTCTAAACTGTTTGGAAAGGTATCAGTAGATTAACTTGAACCCTGGATCTTCTTCCATCTGGGATATGATTAGGTTTAGATATCTGTTTGAATGTCACTACTAAGCCCTTACTGGGAAAACCTGGATAAGGAGAAAGGGAACATCTTTCTTATCCAGAAATAGAACTGTTAGGTGGAGGCAGAAATAGAGCAGCACAGAGGTTTGGGAGCTGAGAGTATTCAAGACTTGGAACAGACCACAGTAGGGCAGTGTCTATGTTATATGTATGTGTGTATATATGTAAGAATTTGTTGTTTCTGCAGGAATCTCTTGCCTCTGGTGTTGGATTATGGTGATTTGAGGAAACATTTTAATCTAGGTGAATCACCTTTTCTGAAAGACAACAAAGATTAGATGTTCACGTGTTCACAAAACTGGGGAGATTGCAGGAAGTGTCCATGCATCTTTACTAGTGAATGGTTCAAACAATGGTGGCTAACACTGCCTCAGTAGCTAAGGAAACTGCTCCCTCCTTTGCCTCTGGATGTGCCTAGGCAGGAGTTTGGGATTCAACAAAGAAAGTAGACAGGTTCTCCAACCTCACATCCCACTCCCTCATTGAGTTGGCTGTGCTAAAGCTGGACATTGTATGCTGCAGATTCAAACCAATTCACTTCTCTCCCTCCCAAAAAAGGAACATCTGACTGCAATACAAGGAGGTAGCTGAATTCATTGTAGTTCTTCAAGTCAGGGCATACCATACTTCCTCAGCCTGGATAGCAATTTACTGGGAACATGGCATTAGAAAACAATAAAAGGGAAAGACAGTTTCTCCTCAGAAAGTGCAGAGCTGAGTCTGCAGTTTAAAATTAGTCATAGAAACATGCTGGGTCTCTCTATTTGATGTTGTTCTGGACACACACTTTCACTAGTGGCATCTGCTTCCCATCTGAGCCGGAAGATATATTTTTGAAAAGATTTAAAATATCGTCCTCCTATTAAAAAAATTAAAAAGGTATGTTTCATAAAAGTTGTGGAATGATTAGTGGAAATAAATTATTGTGCATACTAAAAGTGGTTTTTGATGTATTTTAGATACACAGGAAGTTACAACTATGGTAGCTATAGCAACCAGCATCCCCATCCAATGCAGAGTCAGTATCCATCCTTACCACATGATACTGCTATTTCTGGACCACTTCACTACTCAGCTTACCACAGAAGCTCTTCACAGGTAATCTCCATTTATTACTTGATGATAGCTGTTGTAACATTTAAAATAATTCAGTTTTAAAATTTATCAGCATATTAGCTGTCTGAATCAATAAGCTGTCTAGATATCGATGGCTCCTCTTTTTTTTATTTTCTAATATTACCTAGGTATTTTTTAATTTTAGTGGAGATCAGAAGTAGCTTTAGATTGTCAGTATAAAGTATTAACTGTAAAATCCAGCAGTCTGGATCTGTTTTTGTTTTAAGGAGTAGCTAAAGCAAAAACAAATATAACTATTTGTATGATTCTTAGGTGTTGGAAGCAGGAAGAGATCCCTAATAAGAAATAAAAGTGTTTTCATTTAGCTGAAGATGCAGAGGCCATAGTGAATTCTTGTGGGGTCTCTGCTTTTGAGGACACCCATGTTTAGGAATTTGCCAAAACAGTGAGTTCTGCATGTAGTTTGAATAACTTGAGGACACCACTGCAGAGGTTGTTTAATCTGTATCCTATGGTCTCCTACTAAAATGTTTCGAAATTATACCAGTAACTCTTCCACCTCACAAAGCTGAGCCAGTAGGAGCCAGCACAGATGAGGTGTGAAGATCAGATCTGGCAAGAGTTCCAAAGTAATGCCACTGTTGGGGGGCTTTAGTCCCTCGTGCAGTTGGTGCTTCCTCAGTGTAGGCAGCTGCTCTCTGGGCTCTCTGCTGGAAGATTGGCAAAGGGCAGACAGGCAGAAAGTGATGGCATCAGGGTATTCCACTTCCACTCACACAGCACCACTTACCCTTTACCAGAAATTTATAAAAGTGTGTGAGGCACTGCCATGCTTAACTATCATCACTGGACTGCAACAGTTTCATACCAGATGCAAATGAATTTGGTAGTGCTTTGAAACTGAGCACACAAAAGCTGCATCTCAGTCTGGTCTTCAGAATCAGTCTGCCACATGGCCTTAGAGGAGTTGTTTCTCCTTTTTATGCTTCATTTTCCCTAGCTGTAAGATAAGAATCATGGTATTGATCTCCTTAAAGCTTTCAGAGACCTGTACAAACCCAAGATGCTCATTTGGAGCAGCTTAACAATGGCTTATGGAAAGGACAAGCTACAACTTCTCACTCATTTGTGTAGCACCTGGTCTGTCAGACTGCATGAGGTGTCTGGCTTTGTCTGAGGGTTTTTACAGTGGCTCTGTCTTCAGCAGGAAAGTGAACGAACATTGAAGTGCGGTGTCCTGGGACAGGTTTGTTTTTCTCCATTTTTCAATTATAGGTGTTACCCTGTTATCTCAAGAAACAAGTAAAGCAAATCAGGTTCAACACATTTTTAGTTTATTCATATCCTGGTTAACATGCTGTATGCAAGCAGCAGCAAACACTGAACTCAGGCAAATGTCTTTCATACTGTAGTAGGCTGTCTCTACAAGTGCAGATGTCAGATCATTTTTTTGCTCTCTTGCTAGTCTTTGAACTGTCCCGAATATATACGAAGAACAGCTATGCTTTAATGATCACACTTTAAAGGAAAATTATTTCAATTTATATGTGGCATGTTCTTTCTCATGCTGCTTATAATCTGAGATGGAATTGCACAGCAGGACACAGCCGAAAAAAAACATATCAATGTGCTTGTTCTGTATTGAGAGGAAGTACAAACTGGAACCTTACTTTTGAAAAATTATTCAAAGTATTTAACAGTTTGATATAAAATTTGCTGAGAGTGTTTTTAAAGCTAAGTTAGCATCTGTAAAATGCCTGCTCTGATAATAAGTCCTTTCTTAGCTACTTTTTAACCAGAAAAAAAGTTCATAAGATGTCCCTAATAAGATGTTAGGAAACTGCTCTTTTTCTAGTGGTCTTTGTGAGGGGAACATGTTGATAGGAGTTGCAGTAGGACTCATGATGTTGCAAAATAAAAATACAGGAAGCCAAATTTACAATGAATATATCAACAGCTGCCACTATACTGAAACCAAAGGGGCTGCAATGTGCAGAGCTGTGGGTGTATAATCAGCTGGGAAGAGGAGGCTTTGACCATAACTTTCAAAAGAACTCTTTGTTATAATCTACATTCTGGCCAAATATAGAACTTTGGCTCAACTTTAACAGCTATTCTACCATGCTCTTTAGGACATTGTCTAGGGATTAACTCCTATGAAAAAAAAAAAGAAAGAAAAAGATCTGTGTATGTGATAAATTCTCTACAAACATGGATTCAGGGAGAGCCCTTGTCCCAGACAAGGATCTGAGCCAAAGCAGGTGGCATGTAGTTGTGGTGGGGTTTAAGCTGCAGCTATTAATAACTATTTTGGTCTTGAAGATCATATCCAACCTCTTTCAATGGAAGAGAGTGACACACTCCAGGTTTTATCAGCTACTTTGAGAATTTTGATTTTGTAATTGGAATCTTTAGACTGAGGCTGTGCTGGGGAAGAAGTCACACAGATATAGATATTTTACTATTTACTATCTTAATATTTATTATTAACTATTACTTTACAGATCTCAAAAAGTGCAGGTGGGGGGTCTGGCAGTATAGGCTGACTAATTTCCACTGATGGCTAAGACTCTTTTTGATTACAGAAAGTCTGTTCAAACCTTGGTCTTAATCCACATTTTTTCTTCTTCCCTCACTGTCTGTGAGTAATTCTCAGAACAGTTCCTTACTTTTAATGGCAGGCCTGATTGCTCATTGCTTGACTTGGCTTACTGGCCAGGAGCCTGGCAGACAAATGAAGAATGATCTACAGATTGATCTGTTACTACCTAATTCTCTAAGCCATAGTGCAGGGTTGCCACAATATTCTGATGCTACTCCACCATAGTATAGAAGGAGATTGTTTAGTGTGTGTGTGTACATAAACATATCTATACAGAGACTTTATTTCATCAGTCCTTTATTTCTTCTGCTTCTGTGGTTAAGGCACCAGGTGCCAGGGTTGAAAATACACAACAACTCTTGCCCAAAGCCTCTGAGAGGTCTCATCAACCTATGTTGAGTTTAGCAGAGAGTTACAACACCTTCACAAAGTCACAGTGTAGGCTTGACTGGCTTCTGAGCACAGCTTTTATCTGCAGTGTTCACCCTGGCTGGACAGGTCTTAATCCTCTTTCAGGCTCCAAAGTATTTCAATTCACATAGTTCTACCTTTTCCTTGGACACAAACTAATTCATGCTGCAGTAATTTTTCTTTGTAAATTTCAATGCTAATAACACTTTTAGTAGGAAGAATAAATCTACTAATAATTAGAATAATCTGCAGCAGTATCCATTTTAACATATCTGGTAACATATAAAGATGCACATCTTTAACTGCAAGTATCCTAATGGGTAGCTGTAGTGAATCACACTGTAGGTTCAGTTATCCAGGTCTTATCTCTAGCAACAACCAGAAACAGGTGTGTAGAGGAAAAGTCTTAGAAGTAGGGTAAGTAGAAGGTAGTCCTTTCATCAGCATAGCTCTGACAACTTTGGCAAGAGCTAACCTAGGGATATCCTGAGTAGGAAGCAGCAGTTGGAATGATGTTTTTGTAGCAAACCACTCTCCATTACCCTGTCTTTGAGCTTTTTTGTACATATGGACTTTGTCAGGCATTGCATGAAACGTTCATTCTCTTGTTATTGCATTGTGTGCCCTAGGGTTTTTTGGGTGATGAGGAATAGTGAATATTCATTCTCTGTTTATCTACTCTCATCATTCAAGACATTATAGATCTGCATCACTCCTTCCTCACCTCATCCCTGTCATCTCTTGCAGAATTTAGCATTATCATCTCTTGTAGTTTCTGTTGTGACAGGTGCTCTGTGCACAGGACTTATCCAAGGACTGCAGGGCAGGTGTAGTCTGGGGAGGCTGTGAAAGTCCTGTTCTCTAAGTTGTGCTGAGCAGGGAACCTGATGGAGCTGGAGCTCTCCTCTAGCCTTTCTGTGCAAAACCTGACTCTCAGAGTAGGTAGGAGGGACTCAGCCAAGAAGCTGCCACATTAACCACCTAGAGCTGAGAATCCCTCCTTGATGCCACACTAAACACAGCCCCATTCTACCTTTTCCCCTTTGCCGCTTCCAGAATGGAACAATCATCTCCAAACAGTCAACCTCAGGTGACAGAGAGTCATAGAAGTAGCATAGCAATGTTTCTCCTTTTGTGCCATGAAGCTCCTATCTTAAAGACAAGAACGAATCTATTTATTTATCTATTTATTTTTGCTGCCTTTAAGTTGCATTTATGAAGATCATTGTTTACTTCCATGGCATGGGCAGAACAAATCACTCGGGAAAATACTGCAGCAGTACAGTCTGCTGTTCAGCAGTAGATCAGGTCTGCACCTCTCAGAGGCCCAGAGCACAGTGTTTGGGCCATAGTTAAAGGAAATTTAAGCAGTGTTATTACTCTGACTCTCCTGAACTGCTCTGGGGAGTGCAGTGATCTCATATAACTTCCCAGGGTGCAGCATGGTGCACTACTCAGTTTTTCTGCATGCCACAGTTCCACTAAACCATGTCTTCACTTCATATACCTCTGCAGCAGGATTTTCTAGAAGCAGTACTGGAAAACAGTAGTAACTTTTTTGTGACAATGGGGGAGCCAAAGAAATCCTCTCTCAGACAGAGCCCATGCTTCAATGTCCATTCATGTTGTTCTGGCTCATCTACTTGGGAAAAAAAAAAAAAAGGGAAAAGTTCTTAATCTTCCAGCACACACTGGAATTATAAACTCATGACTGTACCAGTGCAGTAAGAATAACACCCTCCCCAGTAACCACTCTGTCATCAAACAGCTGGTAATGACAGAAAGACAGAAATACTGCCCAAATCCCACCCATGCAGCAAGAGTCATTGTTTCCAACTGTATGGCTTCATAAGGTCCTCAAGACTGTTAGCATGTAATTGAAGTAATTATGTATTGAATGCAACAGGAAACAGATGTCTTCTTTTGAGATAATTACAAATAGCATTTTCTGAAAGCTCCAAATGCCACTCCCAAAAGTACCAAAATCACTTAGATGGACTTCAGAGTTTCACTTGGCTTAATTAACAGATTCAATAAGGTTCAATTTGTGGAGAAAAGGGTAAATTTAGGGTGATAAAGATGCCTTTAATCAATAGTTTCGATTATGTCACTTTATAAGACTTAAGCATATTTTTATGAAGTTAATTTATAGCCAGCTCTTCACAATTCAGTAGTTTCTGGTATGTGTTATAGTAGTGGTTAACATGCAACATTAATTTACAGCATCAGCAAAAGTGGGAGCTAATACAATGTAAAGTCAGAGCCACATTCATAAGGAAAATATTTTGCTGTTTGGACACTGAAACCTTTCACTTCCATTTATAATCGGTTGGTGAGTTGAAAATAAGGATAAAGAGATTATTCTCCATCCTTTCACTGTAGAACCTCAGCCTTCACTTCGTGGGAAGACATATTTAATGTTGTATTTTCTAAAATAATACTAAAATAAATTGAATTAATTTTACTTTTGTGGGCAAGGCCTTAACAATAATCTGCTCAAAATCTCACAGGCTTAAAGGGCTTCTTGTCTAGGTCTAATGGCAGCAGTAGTAACAAGTGTGAGTCAACCCAGAAAATGGTAATTTCCTGTCAAGAGTCTTCCAACAAATGTCGCTTTTATATCTGGCAAAGATCACTAGGCCCCAGTGTTTTGAGTTCAGCTTAAGCACTCTTCATTAAACCGGATGTAGAGTGTGAAAGGTGATTCAGGCAGCATGGGCAGGCATCCGCCCAGATGGCTCTGCTTTGGACACTCCAACAAGGCTGAATAGATGCTTCATTGGGTGAGTTAATAGTCAGGCAGGGGCCAACAAGTACTTTAAAAATATTGTCTTTCAATGGTCTCTTCACTGTAGGGAAAAAGAAGCCACTGAGTCATTTGTGATTAGCTGACCTACCATTACAAAACTTTCCATCTTGCATTCAGCCATAACAGAATTTATTGTAAAATACTGGATATTTAGAGTCCATGTTATTTTCAAGCAATTATTCTTTTTACGTTCATGACACATTCATAAACACAGCTGCATTGGGTGCACTTGATGAAAAGGAAAAGCAGCACACTGCATCCTGTCCCCTCATGCAGACCAGTTCCCCTGCCTTCTCAGTAAGCCTAAGCATGGCCTCTGGGCTGCACATTGGAGGGGGAAGATCTTTCTTGGTGCATCCTGAAGTTCATTCTGGGAGACAAGATTTCATTCACTCTCTGGCACAAGTTTTCTGGTTCCAAACGACCAAGAAGACATAATGTGGATTCCCACATACTGCTGTGTACAACAAGGGGACCCACCACAATATTCCCAGAGTTCATTCTCTTCTTCATGATGATATGTGAACGTTTTTGCAGTCTACAGATTTTCAAATAGCAAATTATCCTGGCTGAAGACGGATTTCTCTTGGCGTTTGTAAGGGATGTGAAAGCACATAATTCCCCTGTTTGAAGCCACAACCTTCATTTCAAAACCTCAAAGGAAAACTGCACTGAGTCAGGATGGCAAAGGCTTCTGTTGTGGTTAGCTCAATTATCTCGCCATGAAGAGAGAATTCCTGGTGTATTATGGCAGAAGTCTAGGGTAACCCTGCTCTAAGTACACTCTTTAGTACAAGAATCTACAGTGATTTCATGTATATCAATACATTTCAATAGGTATCAATACATATCAATAGGTAATAAAGGCAAAGACCACCATAACTGGTACCAAGTAAAACGCTACTGAAGACAAGGAAGAAAGTTTTTAACTTGGGTCACGTATTGCTTCAAAGCTTGAGTTTCATTGTTGTTGGTCATTGGAAGTTCTCATCTTCAATGAAAACTTTTGGAAAGCCAACAAGTCTAAAGACTTGGTTCTTCTTCAAAGGAATATAAGGCTTTTTACACTCAGTATGTAAGCTCTGTTGAACTTTTCTACTGAAAAAATTTTCTCTGGGGTGAAGATGGAAATTTAGATGGTGTTGTAGAGACCTGTTGTCAGTGTTGCCAGGACAGCTTATTCTGGCAACTGGATTAGCAGAACAGTGTTGAAATGTCAGTGTTCCAGGGTGGTGCTGCAGTTTAACACCCCCTTTCAGCAGCTGTGATGGCACAGGTAGATCCAGCCTGTGTGGTGATGGGAAGTACAGGCTAGATAACATCTTTGATGTCTTCCTCTTGTCTGCCTACTGGCCTGTCTCCCCAGGACATGCAGGGATGTCCTAAATCACTAATTACAGTATGTTGGTCAAAAAGTCTTCTATTTCTCCTCTCTAGTTAGGAGTGGCCAGCGTGTGGCTCTGAGCTTCATAAGCCTTGTGAGCAGTTCAAATTCGTTTGCCAAGGCTGGCCTGCCTTCCTGGCTGTGGTCTGAAGGGAGACAGCACAAACTCCTCATGGAGACATTGCTGCAATTGCCTTGGGCTTATGTAACAGTTGCTTATGCAACTGATTAAGCCCGGGGCCATCCACAGTGGGTAACGTAATGAGACCCCTTGGGAATCTCTGCTACCTCCCCTCCTAGGAACACCTACTCCAGCTGTTCTCTACATAAGCCTCCTAAATATGAGGAAGGGGTTTTGCAGCCATAGAAAGCTTTGGCATGCAGCTTGCAAGGTTTGTAAGCATCAGAAGAGATAGTCCTGCTTTGGTGACAGCTTTCTAGTTAAAGAAATACCACAGTGTCAAACAACCCAAGGTACAGAAATTTTAAATGTGACACTTTTTTGCAGAAAAGGTATAAAGATGTGAAATGTAGAAGGTCTGAAGATATATGGCTGGCCAAGAGTAACAGGGATCCTCACCATCTCTGTGATGCACATGGATAACGGGGACAAAACAGGGAGAGCCATTCCTCAGACACAGCACACAGATGATCTGCTCCTGCAGGACAGGCAATATGATAAATACATGCTAAGCAAGCCCTCATAAGCACAATTTACTTCCTGCTGCTGGGCAGTCTGTGGCTATAGATGGCAAAAGCTGTTCTGTTTTCCGTCCTATCTCGTCCTTCCTTAGTGGAAACCATTTGTCAAACTTTGATTTCTAGTTTCAAAGTGTCACTGTGAACAGCTGGGGACTAGAAGGATTCTCCTCCTGTCTGCCTCCTTCCATAAGTTCTCCAATTAGCTGCTGGTTCTGGGGCCATACCACACTGTTTTTCTGAAGAAATTGTCAGGATGACTTGTGAACACTTAAAGGGAAGGCGCCTTCCCAGAAATAAAGATTCTTTTGCTCCTCTCCCTCAAAACTCACTTGAGTGAGGAAGAGTTAGGACATTTTATTTTCTGATTTTTAGTAAATAGCAAGTTTTTGAGTAAAAGTGGGAGAAATAAAGATAAATTAACTCAATCAATTTTTCTCCTCCCAGATACACCTAGCACTTTGATAAATCAATTCAGTATTTAAAATCAGTGACTGTTTTGCAAGACTTGCCCTGAAACTTTGGTTTACAGCTGACAATGGTTTTCTGATATTTCACCTGCAGTACGACACCTTGTTGTTGGATAGCTGCTAATTGATATGATTTTGGCTTTTCTAAACACAGAACTGTGACACCACCAGCCCTTATTTTAAAATGAAGTATGTGGCAGCTGATTCTTCGATTTCATTTTTTTTTTAATTCTAGTACCCTTTCAATGGCCCAACATCAAGAATGGAGCCGTGTTTGATGAGCAGTACTCCCAGGCTGCATCCCACACCAGTGACTCCGCGCTGGCCAGAGGTCCCAGCTGCCAACTCCTGCTACACAAGCTCCTCCATGCACTCCACGAGATATGGCAATTCCAGTGACATGTACACACCCCTGACAACACGCAGGAATTCTGAGTATGAGCACATGCAACACTTTCCCGGCTTTGCCTACATCAATGGGGAAGCCACTACAGGCTGGGCTAAATGAAGATGACTGCTATCAGCTGAGCCCACACACTTAAAAGAGTTACAAAAGCTTCGTGCCATGTGGGACTTTTTGTGGATGTTCTTCAAGGGAGGTGAAAATGGAAAAGATCCCGGGCAGATAAATGTAGTTCCTAATGTGGGCAGATTGCAGACCAGTATGACCGAATGTTCCTGTAGCCGAAAAATACTTTTGTGCTGTTCTAGACCACTGTTTGGGCTGATCAGTGCCTTTTTTAATTCTGGGACAACCCCGTGTGCCCTCAGTTTGAGTGAGCCAGTTTTACCCCCTCTCTTATTGACAAATGTTAATGACTCTTACAAAAAAATATTGAAACAGGACCTATTTATAATTTGAATTAAAGACAGGAAATTTGCCCTCAGCAAAGCTCTGTCATATGTTCTTCTTTTAAGCTCTTAATGCGTTCCTTAAAAACCATTCTGCCAAGTCATCACTTACTCATACCAATTCCTCTGTCTGGTTCCTTAAAAGGACACGTGTTGCTGTAGGTTTCAGTTTACACCTAACTTTGTATATTGATGCACCTTTCTGTTGATCCAGTAAGTTTGATCTTGACAAAAGAGAAGAAAAGACATGTAGCATTGAATTATACACTGCCTTAAGTTGACTGTTGTTCTTATTATATATGTATTTGTGTTGAGTTTGCACAATCTGGAAAAATCTAACTTCTCTGGTCGGTAATGACAAGGTAAGAAGGGACTTGGGGACTGGGAAGATTTTGGATTCAGAGCCACATATGTTAAATATAATGATATGAAGCAATTATATGAAGAAAATGACAATGCAAACGTGATTATTTGCTTAATTATCTATTGACAGGTATGAAACTGTTCTCTCAATTCCTTCACGTGGTGATAATTCTCTGTACGTCTACAAAAGCAAAATTCAAAGCTGTGCCTTTGAAATTATTCTGTACTGTGTATGTGTGGAAAAATGTATTGTATTTTGGGGAGAATTTTTCTTAGACATTTTCCTTCAGATTTGTAGCTATTTGTGAGTTTTTGTTAGTTTTTATTAACATAGCTTTTTCTTCTGTATTATAAAACGCACCAAGCAATTATGGTGGACCTATTACCCTATGGGTAAGAAATAAATAAATGGAAATATGACAACAGGCATTTTAGTAGTTGTTTTGTAAATAAAATCTTTGATAGCACCCAGTGTGACAATAACCATGTTTATGTCTAAAATGGACATAAGTGTTATTTGTACAGTTGTGCAAGATATATGAAGGATTTTCACACCCAAATAAAGTTCTTGAAAGTAAATAGATACCAGTGAAATTTACTTAAATAAAAAATTTCTACAAGTTGAAGACCTTCGAAAAAGGTTAGACGTCATCATGCTTTTATCCAGGGAAGGACTGGAGACCAGGTACAATTTGTGGCAAATGGGTGATGCACCTCCTCCCCTTGCCTGATGGATTGGTGATCTTGACGTGCCAAGGTCCCTCCAAGGACCAGATGCCTTGGTGAGATGTCTGTGGGTAGAACTGACCAGTAACTCAAGGCTGGATCTTTGGAAGGACCAGGATGGTGGTGAGCCCAAGCACCACCCAAAGGAAGCCAGAGGCACTTCTGCTCTTTCTTATAGTAAATTTTTAAACCAAAAGAAGACTAATCCCCATTGACTGAAAAAGAGGAGACAATGAGACTATTTTAGCATACAAATATTCCATATCCTTCAACACCTTTGGGGGCAACACTGTCACCCTGATTTCAAGAGCTAAGGCATACTGTTCAGGAAGGAGGGATATTGGACACGGTGTGAGACCCAGAAATAATAAAACAAGAATAATAAAAATAATAAAAACAATAATAAAAAAGTGGTGAACTGCAACATCCTGGGTGTCTTGGGAGAAGAAATTCTGACCAACAGCAGAATCACAAAGCTGCTTGTAAAAAAGAGCCAAGAACATCATCAGTCAAACAGGGCTTGGAAAGTCTTTTGCAAAAAAGCCTCCACAGTCTTTCTTTTTTTTTTCCTCTTTTTAAAAAAATTAATTTAGAAACTTGTGTTGATGCCTCAGGAGTGCGCACTTCCAACTACCATTGAACTGCTTCCTGATGAGGGCTTTGAAATTCAAAGTAGACATTCATGGGGGGCAGTAGACATTCATGAGAAGAGCTGCGAAGCGAAGCAGGACTCATCCTGGGCCGCTGCAGCTCAGAGCCCGCCAGGGCAGCTCTCAGTGACCGGCTGTGCAGCCGAATGGCGAGTGCAGCAGCTCGGGAGAGCACCGTAAGGTGGAGTGGCTGGTGAGGGGCAAGAATGTCTCAAATCACCCCAAACTGCCAAACCTCCTGAGTCAGAGTCTGCAGGCTGATATTTAATTCTTTCCCTTGACCATGGAAACTAAAAGGTCAGTTTTCTTGCCTAGCCATGCATTTATGTGCATATGAAGTAAATATGTGACTATGCAAACGTTGCTGATGAAACTTTTATACCACATTCTGAAATATTCAGTCTCAATTGCAGTTTCCCTTCTGTCACTTTTTCCTATTTTCTTCTTTCTTTCCTATCTCTCCTCTCTTTTTTCTATTTTTTTCTCTTTTCCTTTTCCTTTTCCTTTTCTTTTTTTTTTTTTAATTTTTTGCTTACATTCTCTTTTTTCCTAACAACAAATACACATTTTTATAAAGATGTGATCTTTTTCACAGGCTAAGACATATAATAAATGACAGATATATAATATATACAGTAGAATAGAAACTAGTATTATGTATTACAGCATAACTGACATAACACATTTAATATTTTTAAATAGATCTACACACACACAAATGTATATATATGTACGTACGCCTCTAAAAATCCACTACAATTCTTCAAGATTTTTCATTACCAGGTAGAAAAAAGACTCAGCGGGGGAAGAGCAGTGAGAACTCCATTCAGTAGAATGAATCCTGTTTTTGTCAGGCTACCTCTTGCTGCTAAGGTCACTACCCTTTGACAAAAATGGCCTCTGACCTCCCCAGCCCCACAATTCTGTTGTGACTGACCCTGAAACCCATGAAATTCAGGGGCAGACATTGCTTTGGAAAGTTTAGATAAAGCTGACTAACATGGGAAGGGCTCGTGGTATGCACCCATCTGAAAAGGTCTGGCAGTTCTTTGGCAGAGGATGCAATTTATTCTGTCCTTCTCTTTCATTGAAATCCTAATCCTTCATATGCTACATAAAGTGGAAACTAAAACATGCTGATGATGAATAACAATGTGCCTTTAAAGGGCAGTAACAGTTTCCTAATCTTTATTTTTCAGGTATTGTAATTAAAAAAAAAAATAAATGGCTGTGTGCAAGTAAAATGAGTGTTTTGCTGTGCTGTGAAGTAAAGCTAAGCAGGCTTATACTTTTTTATAGAGTTGTAAATCTAACAAGCAAAAGACTCTGTTCACTGGGTTTCTCTCCAAAGCTCCATTAGTTTACAGATGGATCCGACTCAGAATAAATGGCTGCACACTGGATGGCAGGATTTTGTTACTCCTTGTAGTCCAGTGGCTGTGCTGTTCTGGATTTATATCTCAGTTCTTGTGGCAAGAAACCCCTGAGGAGGAAATTCAGGTTCTGGTTTGGGTCTGCATCTTACACACTGCAGACAGGCACGGTCACATCGGAGCAGCTCTGGGCCCTGTCCGTCTGCAGGTGCAAGCTCCTGGCGTGTTCCGCTGTGGGACCGGCCATTTGTGAGATGAAAGGTTTCTCTTTCTCATGGATTCCTGAATTGGAGGAATAAAGATTTCAAGGAGAGACCAGCCACAGCTCTGCATGAACATGTATACGGAGTGGGTTTTGTTAACTTCAGTATAACATCTTCTGCTATCTGGACAATGAATTTCAATTACAGGGGACCCTGAGTATGGAAATATTGTGGATGTGCTTGGAGTGGTTTAAACACGCAGTCTTGCAAAATCTTTTTAGAGACACGGTTCACCTTTGCCTGGCTCTGCCGATGCACCTTCCCCTCCTGCCACCTCCTGAACAAAACGCAGCATTTTGGTGTACCACCATTGCTGTGGAGGGTTAGACTTGAGACTGGTTTTGCTGCCAGGCGCTGTGGCGAAGGCCCGCTTCAGGGAACAGTCACAGACTTCGCCCGCGATGGGAGCCCAAAAGCTTAAGCCTAAAAAGCTTAAGAAAAAGCAGCCAGCCGTGGTTGTGGCAGCCCTTCGCCTTGGGGCTGACACGGTGCGGCAGGTCACAGAGAGCACACAATCGGCCAGGCCTAAGGAGGCAGGGAAGGGCCGGGCAGTGCCCTGCGCCGCCGACCGTCCCGACAGCGCGCTACCGCCGCTCCTGCCAGCGATAGCTCTCGGCGCTGTGGGCACGGACTGCAGCACCCATCGTGCCCCGCGGCCACAAAGGACGGCACGTCCCGCCGGACGCCGCTCCGTTGGCATGCTGGGAGATGGAGTCCTCTCTCCGAGATAGCCGGCCGGCAGGATGGCAGCCAATAGGAGGGCTCGGGAGTGCGCGCCGCCGGCCCCTCCAGCCAATGGCGCGCGGACGCTGCCTGCCGGTCCGGGCGGCTTCCGCGGGGAGCGTCGGGCGCGTCAGGGGGCGCGGCCGCTGCCGGCGGCGCCGGGCGGGACGGGACGGGACGGGACGGGACGGGACGGTCGGGTATGGAGCGGGGCGCCGAGCCGGGCCCGGAGCTGGGCGCGGTGCTGGAGGCCGTGGAGGGGCGCGGCGGCGGCGGCGCCGAGGCGGTGGAGCGCGTCCTGGCATGGTACAACGAGGAGGTAACGGGTCCCATCCCCCTCCCCTCTGCGCCGCTCCCCCGGCGGTGTCGCCGCCCCGCCCCGCCTGCCGTCGGCAGCGCCGCCAGCGCCGTCCTGGTCCTCCCCGGACTAGGCTCTGCAGCGGGTCCCCAGCGCTCCCCGCTCTGCCGCCATGCCCCCTGCTCCCACAGCCCCTGCCCGGCGCAGCCTCCCGCCCGCAGGCCGCGCAGGGCGCCGCGGCAGCGGCTGCAGGAGAGCCG